AACCCAGCTAACTTCTTCCACTCCAGGACAAGAGTGAAGCCACCACAGGAGCCCTCTCTCACAGGCCTTGTCGCCCCAGACCTAACTCGCTCCCTCCCAACCTGCCTGAAGAAGAAACTCGCAGGATTGCACGGATATTTTCTTCTCGGTACTCCCAGAAAGACTGATGCAGCCTGCAGGGCTGGGGGGAGGAGATGCCTGCCCACCCTCCCTCAGCTTTGTCTGGCTTGCAGGAGGCACTGGGTGTGGCTCCTTCAGGGCTGTCACAGTTCTGAAACCACCACTAGCCTAGTCCATGGATGCCTCAAGAGACCCAGTCAGCCCAGACTGGAGGAGTGTCCCAAATCAGCCCAGTGTCCACCTGCCAGAACTTCAGCTCCTTTCTTCTATGGTGAGGCAAAGGCTAGAAACAAAATGGAATCCATGCCCAAGTGGCTCCTCCATCTTTTGACCAAATGACCCAAGCAAACATCTTTTGGTGGAGAAATGCCTCCCAGTGTCCTTGACACAGCTGACTGCTCATGTCATGCTGACATGAGCCTATCCTCTGCCTGAAGATGTGGGACCATTTTTGCCTTAAAATTTGGGGAGGAGGGATGTGTAGATTGTGTACATTGTGCATAGCCAAGGAAATCCTAGGGCCACCTCCAGTTCATTTGTTGGGGAATAAGGATATTTTATAGATAGAAATTATTTTTATGTCATGTTGAATTAATCAGGAGAGGAAGGGGAAATTACCTCTTTCAAACTTTTCATCTGATTGTCTAAAATTCTAACCATGCTTTTAACTTATTGTTTTTACCCAGCTCTGAAGGTTATTGTTCCTGCCTGTGCTTGAATAAAATCATATTGGTGTTTGTAATCTGTGTACCAGTGTTTCACTGGAGTGGGGATGCCTGGAATTCATTTGTGCTCTAACTGCCAGAGAGAAAGCTTAACAACCATACAGCCCCACAGACGAGGATCAATCACCATGAGACTTCTGGCTCCCCCAGAATCAGGTTGGTCCAGATGACAGTGACACTCAGTATTTTCTTTGCCAATGCTTGAAATCCATCAGCAGAATGGAGCCCTCAGAATCTCCCATATCTCTGGGATGGGTAATTCTGGCTGGGGCTGTCAGACCACAAACATGTGAGCAGCTTCCACAGACAAAGCCCGGTAGGGAGGACAAGAAAGGGGCCATGGCTGGGCATGGTGGCTCAAGGCTGTGATCCCAACATTTTGGGAGGCCAAGGTGGGCAGATCACCTGAGGTCAGGAGTTTGAGACCAGCCTGGCCAATATGGCAAAACCCCATCTCTACTAAAAAAATATATACAAAAATTAGCTGGGTGTGGTGGTGCACACCTGTCTCAGCTACTCCAGTCTCAGCTACTGGGGAGGCTGAGGCAGGAGAACCGCTTGAACTCAGGAGGTAGAGGTTGCAGTGAGCCAAGATCACACCACTGCACTCCAGCCTGGGGAACAGAGCAAGATTCTGTATCAAAAAAAAAGGGTCAGGGGATGGTCAGGGACAGATTCAGAGTGAGCAGTGTGTCTGGGCAACAGGCTTTCACCTTCAAGTACATGTCACTTCACTCAGTCCTCAAAACAACTCTCTAACTCTAGATATTATGATATCTAGCGTTTCTGTAAGCTCAATGTTTTGCCTCCGTTTGCGTAGTTAGGAAGTGATTCACCACACAAGAAATCCCCAGAGGTGTTGCAAGGCTACTGCTTTCAGTGATGAAAACAGTAAGTGCTCTGAATTTAGAGACTTATGGAGAAAGACCATGTGGGCTGGAGCAGTCGTGGAAGGCTTCCTAGCAGAAACAGGTCTTGGGGTGAGCCAGGCTATGGACAGCTATAGAGAGAGAGAGCCAAGAAAGCCATGAGCCACTTGCAGCTAGAGATAGAGACCACCAGTCTGGCTGTGTCTGAGCCTCTCCTCATCTGTAAAACAGATAATCACCCCAGCTTCATGGGTTGTGAGGAAGATCAAATGAGACGGCATTTGTGAAAGTGCTTAGCCTACACTTGGCACATGGTGGAAGCTTAGGAAATGTCAGCCCCACCTACTCCCCTTACGCTCCAGAAGAAACCAGTAGACAGGCAAGCACACAGCCACTGAGGCAGGCAGGGCACTCCCAGGTCTCAGAGGGTGCAAAGTGATACGGGAACCTCAAGGAAGGAGTAGGTGCGCCTTTTTAGTGATGAGCCCTTTGCCTTCTATTTATCTCTGCTCCCTAGTTCCAGCCTGCCAGCCTACCCCTCCCCAGCACCATAGAGGCCGACCTCTCTCACAAGTCACCAGCACAGAGCATTCAAGGCCCAGGGCTCCACTTCCTTTAGGGCCTAGGGAACCAAAGGCCCCTCTTTAGGGGCAGCTGGGGCCCAGGCCTGAAGGGGAAAGCCTTAGGTAAAGAGTATCTCTCCAAATCCCACTCCAGCTCCCTCAGACAACCTGATTGGGGTCAGGAGGACACATGCTGCTCCTACCCCAGGCTGAGAGCAGCCTCTGAAGACACGAAGGGACCCCGAGGGTCGAGACCTCCCACCTCCACTTCAAAACTGTGTTATTTATCCGTATCTTCTCCCTGGCCAGGCGTGATGGCTCATGCCTGTAATCCCAGCACTTTGGGAGGCTGAGGCGGGTGGATCACAAGGTCAAGAGATCAAGACCATCCTGGCCAACATGGTTGAAACCCAGTCTCTACTAAAACTACAAAATTAGCTGGGTGTGGTGGCGCGCTCCTGTAGTCCCAGCTACTCGGGAGGCTGAGGCAAGAGAATCGCTTGAACCCAGGAGGCAGAGGTTGCAATGAGCCGAGATTGCGCCACTGCACTACAGCCTGGGTGAGAGAGTGAGACTCCATCTCAAAAAAAAAACTTATCCCTGGAAGTTGAATCTATTTCCCAGTGCCAGTTCCAAGGTAAATGACTTGCCCAGGCAAGCAGAATGGAGTAAGGCATTTGGTAGGTGTTCCCACCACTAGAGCGAGCCAGTGACTCCCTGTCTTCCCTTTGAGTACTCTCTCCACAGAGACCTGTGAATAGGTGTTTCTGATCCCTAGGCTAGTTGCATCCCAGCCCCATAGGAGGCAGCCTTGGGACTTCTAGCATGGGCTGGCCTTGGGACATGGAGCCAGAGCAGGCAGACCTGTCCCTGCCCTCAAGAAGCTCCCAGGCCAAAGAGAGCTCTGCCGTCCCTCCCCCTGGGTTTCTCCAGAGCCTGCTGCCTCCTGCTTTGGGATCCTACTGTACTCTTCCCCCACAGACTCCCTGCAGTTTATCCCACCACCCCCAGGCTAGCAATTACAGAGGGAGCTCAGAACCTACTTCCTGAGCCCTCCTGATCTCAGCAACCCTGGCAGCCACTTACCTCCTAACTCTAATGCAGCTGCTTATTCTGCTGACATTAAGGTCAGGGCCTGGTCCAAAGAAGACGACAGGTATAGCCCAAGCTTTGCACTTGAGCATCTGTACTTCTGACCACCTGCCCTATGAACCTGGCTCTGCACCCAAGTCCAGAAAAGACCTCTGCCTACTCCTCCTCTGCCCTACCCAGTTAACTCCCTTTCCTTCCTCCCCTTCTGCTTCTCACTCCTCTCCCCTCTCTTCCTCTTCTCTCCTTCCCCCATCACCTGGGGCCTGATTCAGCTATGCCCAGCCCTTACTCTCAGCACCCACAGCAGGAGCCTCCAGTAGCTGCTGTGGGGCACTCTTTCCACCCACCCCAGCACCCTTGGCTTCAGCAGAGTCCATGCTAAAGCCTCCCAAGTGTCATGTCGGAATGGTGGTCACAGCAGGTAAACCCAAAACGCCTTAGAGTTTACAGGTTGCAGTCAGCTCCCGCCACGTGCTAACCACATGACCTGCTGGCATTACCCTCCCTGAGATTCCACTTCCTCCTCATTGGTAAGATTTTAGGATCCTTAGCACCAAAAAGAAATGAAATACTGATACAGGCTCCAATGTGGATGAACTTCAAAAGCATTAGTACACTAAGTGAAAGAAGCCAGTCACAAATAAGCACATATTGGATGATTCCATTTCTAGGAAGTGTTCAGAATAGGCAAATTTATAGAGACAGAAAGTAGATTGATTAATGGTCGCCTGAGGCTGGGGAGCGAGGGAAGGGAAGTGACTACTAATGTGTATGAAGCTTTTCTGGGGGAGCAGTGTGTGATGAAAAGTTCTAAATTATAGATTGTGATGATGGTTGCACAACTCCAAATATACTAAAAACCATTTGAATTGTGCACTTGAAACAGATGAATTGCAGGGTATGTGAATTCTATATCAATAAATCTGTAATTAAAAAAAAAAATTAGGCCTGGCATGGTGGCTCACACCTATAATCCCAGCACTTTTTAAGGGTAAGGCAGGATGATCACTTGAGCCCAGGAGTTCAAAACCAGCCTGAGGAACACAGCAAGACTTCATCTCTACTAAAAATTTTAAATTATCAAAAAGAAAAAAAAATGTTAAAAAAAAAAAAAAAAAAAAAGCCGGGCACAGTGGCTCATGCCTATAATCTCAGCACTTAGGGAGGCTGAGGCAGGCGGATCACCTGAGGTGAGAAGATTGAGACCATTCTGGCTAACATGGTGAAACCCCGTCTGTACTAAAAATAGAAAAAATCAGCCAGATATGGTAGCACATGCCTATAGTCCCAGCTACTCTGTAGGCTGAGGCAGGAAATCGCTTGAATCTGGGAGATGGAGGTTGCAGTGAGCCGAGATCGCACCACTATACTCCAGCCTGGGCAACAGAGCAAGACTCCATCTCAAAAAAAAAAAAAAAAAAAAGGCTGGGCATGGTGGCTCACGCCTGTAATCCAAGCACTTTGGAGGCCAAGGCAGGTGGATCACCTGAGATTGGGAGTTCAAGACCAGCCTGACCAACATGGCGTAACGTCGTCTTTATTAAAAAAAAAAAAAAAAGTAAAGAATTAGAATCCTAATAGTACCTATCTCATAGGATTGTGTAAAATGGTAGTAGTGTATGTAAAATATTCAGCACATAGTAGGCACAAAGGAATGAATGACAGTTATTATTAAGATGCCTGGGAGAGCTGTGCCCAGCCTATCATGGGAGGCCTTGACCTTTGGACTCAAAAGTGGCAGCAGGTCCACACCCCCATACATCCTTGTTACCAAGGAAGTGTCCACAGTTTGAAGGAGCTATGTTAAAGCACCCCAAGTCAAGAGGACTAAACCAGATCTGGAACTCACTGACCTCCCCCCTCACCTCACTGCACCTCACCAGCCAGCTTCTTGTCAAGTGATTAGGCTGTCAACCAGCTTCTCTAGGATAAGGTTTCAGGTCAGCTGCGTGTATAAGACCAGTGCCAAGCCAGAAGCAGCAGAGACAACAGTGAATGGCAAGGAGGGGCCATCCGATCCCTGCTGCTACCTCCCGGAATGGAGCCCTAGGGAGCCCCTGTGCCTCTGTCCTGGCAGGACTCACAGGTAAGACCCCTTTCTCCTCCCTCATCCCTTCCCTTCTCCCTCTCCTCCCTTCTTGTTCTCCCTTTAATTGGAGGCTTACAGAGAGCGTCCCTGAGCAGTCAGTGCTCACTAGCCACAGCATGTCAGACCTGATAGAGATTCAGTCCAGCCCCCACCTTATGAAAAGGGAGCTCAGCCCTGATGAGGGTACTGTGGCAGGGCTGGGACTTGAACCCAACACCTGTGTCACTCACCCAAGACTCACATCCCCTTTTCCTTATAGGCTGCCTCTGGTGGGATTTTGCAAATCCCCATAGTCAGAAAGTGGCTTTCTTCTTTGTCTGCTCCAGAATCTGTGGGATTCTCTGGAGCATAAATCCCTTTCTTTCCATGAGGACCCTGGGGCCCTCTTCCTGAGTAGGGATGACAGGCACATCTGACCTGAGGCATGGTCCAGGTCATTTGCTGGGAACTTTACAGAACCCATGGTCTCTCCGCCCAGATGGCTTCCTTCTTGGGATGCTGTGAAGGCTTTGCCCAGAAGGGCGGGTTGGAGTAGGGGAGGCAATATCGTGTTGGGTAGCATGTCTCAAAATGGGGTCCTCTACCCTCTGCTTCAGAGCTGCCATGGGGAATTTGTTCCTAATGCAAATTCCTAGGCCACACCCCAGACCTAAATCAGGATCTCTGGGGCTGAGGGCCGAGAATCTAGTCTGTAAACAAGCGGCCCAAGGGATCCTTAGCAATCCCTGAAGTCTAAGACTCTCTGGGCAGTGGAATAGGCACAGCTTCAGATGTCAGACAAATGTAGGCAACAATCTCAGCTCCAGCATTTCAGCTGTATGACTAGCTAAAGCCCCGGACGCCTCAGGTCCCTGGTTTACGAAATGGGAATAATAATAGCAATGACTTGTAGCCTTATAAAGGGATCGAATCAGTCAGTGTCTCTAAAGCCCTCAGCACAGTATCTGGTGCAAGAAGCACCCAGCAAACATTAATGGGCCATGCAGACTAGAACATCCCATCCCTCAGGAGCCCCAGCAGAGCCACAGGAATGAGGATTCCACTTTTGACTTCTTCCTCTACTGGCCAGTGGCAAAGTACTGCCAGCTGCTAGGGGTGTAGGGGAGGCTGGAGTGAACTGGGAAGACGATTAGGGACTACTGGCCTCAGAGCAGCTACTACCTGTGCCCACCATTGTGGCTTCCCCTCCTCCCCAAGCTTGACTACAGAAAGTTCTAGAGCCCTGCCTGCAACATGGGCTTTTGACCTGAGTCTACATCCATCTATTCTATTTCCCATGAATGGCTAAGAACTGCCCCTCTTATCAAATCATCAGGCTGAGGCCAGGAGTTTGAGACCAGCCTAGGCAACATAGACCCCCATCTCTACAAAATAAAAAATTGGGCCGGATGCGGTGGCTCATGCCTACAATCCCAGCACTTTGGGAGGCCCAGGCAGGTGGATCACGAGGTCAGGAGTTTGAGCTGGCCGAAATAGTGAAATCCGGTCTCTACTAAAAGTACAAAAAATTAGCCAGGCATGATGGTGGGCGCCTGATCCCAGCTACTTGGGAAGCTGAGGCAGGAGAATTGCTTGAACCTGGGAGGCAGAGGTTGCAGTGAGCCAAGATTGTGCCATTGCACTCCAGCCCAGCAACAATGTTAGACTTCATCTCAAAAAAATTAATTAAAAATAAAAATTAAAAATTAGCTGAGTATGGTGATGAACGCCTATAGTCCCAGCTATTCAGGAGGCTGAAGGTGGGAGGGTCCCTTGAGTCCAAGGGGTCAAAGCTGCAATGAGCCTGGATTGCACCCCTGCACTCCAGCCCAGGTAACAGAGCGAGATCCTGTCTCAAAAAAAAAAAAAAAAATTGGGGAAAACAGGTGTCTGAGCCTCGGTTTCCTCATCTATACAGTGCAGATACCACTACCAGCTCTGCCTGCCCATGGTAAGGAGGGGAAGGAGAGGGGCAGGAAGAAGATTGCAAAATCCAAGGGACGGGAATGTGACCTGTCGTTATAGGCCAAATTCATGCAGCTTAAGTATGGCAGCACCCAGGCTTCTCCCTTTCTAAAGCCCCTCCTGGGTGCTGAGGAACATCTGGGGGCCAGGCCAGACATCACTCAATCTGCCTCCTCTGGCCTGTCTCCTGCAGCCTCTCTGCTGCACTGAAGCCCAGAACTGTGAAGCAGCCTCTCTCCTTGGACCTCCTCTGGCCCCAAAGGACTGGGCGGAGCCTTCCAGGACCATGGTTGGACTGAAGCCTTCAGATGTGCCTCCCACCATGACTGTGAAGTTCCTGGGGGCAGGCACAGCAGCCTGTTTTGCTGACCTCCTCACCTTTCCACTGGACACAGCTAAGGTCCGCCTGCAGGTAGGTGCCCTCTGGCCAAGGGTCATTGATCACATGGAAGGAGGAGCTAGTTCTCCCCCACAGCCCCCATGCTATGTGCCCACATGCCCTTCCTCACTCAGAACCCTGACAAAGACTCTCACTCCACTGCTTAGGATGCCTCCTGGCCTCTTCCCGTCACCATTCACCAGGACAAAAAAAAAATCTAAATTCTTTGCATGATGTGACAGGGCCCTTTATGGCCTAGGCCCTACTTTGTAAACCATACAATGTGAGGTAAAAGTAAGGAATTAATGCTGGGTGTGGTGGCTTACACCTGTAATCCCAGCACTTTAGGAGGCCAAGGTGGATGGATCAGGAGGTCAGGAGTTCAAGACCAGTCTGACCAACATGGTGAAACCCCATCTCTACTAAAAATACAAAAATGTTAGCCAGGCGTGGTGGCACATGCCTGTAATCCCAGTTACTCGGGAGGCTGAGGCAGGAGAATCGCTTGAACCCAGGAGGTGGAGGTTGTAGTGAGCCAAGATCACTTTGTTATACTTCAGACTGGGCAACAGAGCAAGACTCTGTCTCAAAAAAAAGAAAAAAGAAAATAAATAAGGAATTAACTATGTGACCTTGGCAAGCCACAGAGCACTTCTAAAATTGGAAAAACAATCTGTCCCTCTGATTTTCTCTGAAGATCAAACACCAAACCATGTGTATAATGCTGCTCTGTGAACAGTAAATGCTGTCCAGCGTTTTCAAGGCTGTGATCAGCGTGGTTGTTCTTAGGCCCTGCCCAGGAAGGCCCAGCCCCAGCAGGGTTCCCATGCACACAGCTCCTTCTTGCCCTCCCATCCAAGTCCTCACCCCCTGCTGTTGTCTCTCAGATCCAGGGGGAGAACCAGGCAGCCCAGGCAGCCCGGCTTGTGCAGTACCGTGGCGTGCTGGGCACCATCCTGACCATGGTACGGACCGAGGGCCCCTGCAGCCCCTACAATGGGCTGGTTGCCGGCCTGCAGCGCCAGATGAGCTTCGCCTCCATCCGAATCGGCCTCTATGACTCTGTCAAGCAGTTCTACACTCCCAAAGGCTCAGACAGTGAGTGCCCGGGTCCCTGAACACCAAAGGGGTGGCCAAAAGTGTATGGGTCAAGAGACCAGGGAAGTCCAGACTCAGAGGCAGAGCCAGGGGCAGGGGGATGTTGGTACCGGACACTCATGAGGCGACTCTGAGTGGCCATCAAGGAAGCTGCAAGGGCAGCCCCTGGAGAACAGCTTATCCCAGAGAACTGCTCAGTAGGGGACACTGGCCACTCTCTCTGCCCGTCCCAGACTCCAGCGTTACTACCCGGATTTTGGCCGGCTGCACCACAGGAGCCATGGCGGTGACCTGTGCCCAGCCCACAGACGTGGTGAAGGTCCGATTTCAGGCCAGCATACACCTTGGGCCTGGGAATGACAGAAAATACAGCGGGACTATGGACGCCTACAGAACCATCGCCAGGGAGGAAGGAGTCAGGGGCTTGTGGAAAGGTAAGTCTGGACTCCTGGTGCAGGCAGCCCTAGGCAGAGCTTTCCCTCCCCTCTGGCTGGGGCAGGGACCAGCAAGGAGGGGACTCCCACTATGGCATGTTCCAGTGATTCTAGAAGAACATCCCAACCAAAGATACCTCACTGACCTGCCACAGCCCTGCGAACTCAGCTCATTTACCAGACCTTTGCCATGTGCAGGTTGCTGTGAGCAAGACAGAAATGATTTTTTTTTTTTTTTGAGACAGAGTCTGGCTCTGTTGCCCAGGCTGGAGTGCTATGGTGCGGTCTCAGCTCACTGCAACCTCTCCCTCCTGGGTACAAGCAATTCTCCTGCCTCAGCCTCCCAAGTAGCTGGGATTACAGGTACCCGCCACCATGCCCGGCTACTTTTTGTATTTTTAGTAGAGATGGAGTTTCACCATGTTGGCCAGTCTGGTCTCAAACTCCCGACCTCCTGATCTGCCCACCTCAGCCTCCCAAAGTGCTGGGATTACAGGCGTGAGCCACTGTGCCCAGCCAGAAATGAATTTAAGACACCTCCACACACCCAGGGCATGAGGACAACAGAGGAGATAAGTCAAGACCACGCAGTTATACCACATGCAGGATGTGCTAGGGGTCGCCCCAGAGGTGGAGTTCCAGAGGCAGGCTCTGTGGAGAAGGTGACACCTAAACTGAGCCTGGAAGACTGAGCGGGCTCTAGGTGTGTGGAGACAGAAAGGGAGGGGCCCAGAGGAAAAAAAGGAGCATCCGGAAAGCAGAGCTGTGAGGAGTGGGCAGAGGGAGATGCAATGAGGAAGGACTTCCTTGGGAGTAAAGCTGGAGGCTTCCCTACATGACCACACGGCAGCCACTGTGATGAATGCAGGACTCTCTCCCACATGTGGACCAGAGGTTGTGTGAATGCTTACAGAAGAAACTGACCCAGGGAAGTTTAAGGGCAGGACACCTCTTAAGTGAGGTGCCCTTAACTTAATGTTGGGTGCCCTTCAGAGCTTGTCCCCTTATCTGTGAAGCCAGGGGTTTGGTCCTGATACTTTCCTAGGGCCCTGCTGGCAGCACCACATTCTGTCACTGTTCTAAGAGCTCAGCCTCCCACTGAATGCCTTTCTTTTCTGGCTGCAGCTGGGTCTCGGGGAGGCATATTTTAATTTTGACAGCTATTGCAGATTACCTTCCAAAATGTGGCCAAATGAACACAAGTGGGCCTCTCCGTTCTCTGTCTCTAAGGCGGACATGGACAGTCTTAAAAGTTGTTAACCCTAGAAAGGAAAGTGTGGAATCTGCTCAGCTAGGGTAGGCTTTTCTGGCTGAGACCATTGGAATGGCCCCAAACTGGGGCCCATGGCCTTGCAGCCAGGGCGTCCATTTCTACCATTTCCCATTCATCCATCCCTACCTACCGCCTTCTTAACAGGAACTTGGCCCAATATCATGAGGAATGCCATTGTCAACTGTGCTGAGATGGTGACCTACGACATCCTCAAGGAGAAGCTGCTGGACTCTCACCTGCTCACCGGTGAGGTTCTGAGCTCCAGGCAGGCAGCCCTCCCTCAGCAGGGAGGGAACCCAGAACTTCATGGAGTGGGCACCACCCAGAGGCAACTGGGCTTTAGTAGGAGCAGAGAGAGGAGGAGTGCCCAGTAAAAAGTGCCTGGTACATTGTGGTGACAAGCAGTAAAGACTCCTGGGCTGGGAGGCTGGAGACCTGAGTGCCAGTCCCAGCACCGCCTCTCACTATGTAGCTTTAAGCAGGGGTCTCTCACCTTCTCTCACTTCCGTTTCCTCAAACAGGCTGCATGATCTTCCACCTCTGGATCAGCGCAGGCCTAGTTTGCCAGTACTTGCCAAGAGCTTAGCCCAGGGCACTGTAAACATATGGAAAATACTGTCCCATGCTCAGGGAGTTCCCTGTTGAGTTGCAGACAAACAGTGAATACGTATGGACAGAACACAAGTGCACTCCTTGATATTCTCTCATCCCTCCCTCTGCAGACAACTTCCCCTGCCACTTTGTCTCTGCCTTTGGAGCCGGCTTCTGTGCCACAGTGGTGGCCTCCCCAGTGGACGTGGTGAAGACCCGGTATATGAACTCACCTCCAGGCCAGTACCTCAGCCCGCTCGACTGTATGATAAAGATGGTGGCCCAGGAGGGCCCCACAGCCTTCTACAAAGGGTGAGCTTCCTCCCACCTCCATCACTCCCTCCCAGAGAAAGGGGCTTTTTTCTTTTCTAATGTGGCTACCATGGGTCAAGCTGGGATGTAGCAGTGAAGAGCACAGATGTAAATGCCACAAAGGAGAAGTCTAAAAAACAGTGCAAGTAAAATAAAGAAAGTGAACCATACCTGATGTGGAGTTAGGGAAGCCTGCCTGAGAACAAGCATTCTAGGAATAGGTAAAAGTACTGCCTGTCTCCAAAGGAAGTTGACAATCCTGAGACCTCCCCAACCTCCTGGCATGGCCATTGAGCACCACACCAGCCACAGCCAGTGCCTTAACACTGTCCCCATATGCTCCACGTTTTCTTGCTTCCATACCTTTGTACTTCTCCCACTGCATGGAATGCCTCATCATCTACAGGCTTTCTTTCTTTTTTTTTTTTTTTTTTTTTGAGAAAGAGTTTCACTCTTGTTGCCCAGGCTGGAGTGCAACGGTGCGATCTCAGCTCACCGCAGCCTTAGCCTCCCGAGTAGCTGGGATTACAGGCATGTGCCACCACATCTGGCCAATTTTTGTATTTTTAGTAGAGACAGGGTTTCTCCATGTTGGTCATGCTGGCCTCAAACTCTCGGCCTCAGGTGATTCTCCCGCCTCAGCCTCCCAAAGTGCTGGGATTACAGGCATGAGCCACCATGCCCGGCCTACAGCTTTCAATTTTAGCCATCCTTCCAAATCAGTTCAAATGCCACCTCCTCCCTAACACTCTCAGATATAAATTTTTCCTCCTTCCTGGGAACTTCTGCAATGCCATTTGACACCATTTTTATGGTATTTATCACCTCCTGCCTCGTGTTATAGAATTGGTAAGCTTAAATTATTCCTCAGGCAAAGGGCAAGTTCCCGAAAGTCAAAGTGGCTCAGATGTCTTTTAATCTCCCACAGGCCCTCGCACAAAGCAAGCACTTGATAATGCAGGTTGTGTAAGATCATCACGACAGCTACATAACTCTATATTAGGCCTCGTGCTAAGCACTTTACACAAGTTATCCCGTCAACCCCTTGAACTGGGTAGTATTGTCCACATTACCTAAGGAAGAGGCTGAAGGACAGAAAAGTAATTTATCCAAGATCACAAGTTAAACTGGTAGAGCCATGGCTCAAACCCAGACCATCAGACCCCACACCCAATGTCATTGTTTGTCCTACTGGTAAGCTCTTAGCTTGGCTCTCTCACCTCCTACTGCTGATGCCTTCAACAGAGTTTTCTGGTACCTGATGTTAGAATGGACCCGACAAGTGAAGAAGAGCCACTATAGGTTCTCAGTTGCAATTGACAGACTGTTCTTCTGAAAAGTGCCTCTATCATTACAGTCTTCAGCTGGAGCCACTTCTCTCAGTTACTGCTTTCACTTGTCCAACATTTCTGGAGCATCTCATATGTGCCAGGCCCTGGGTTATGCTTTCCTCAAAAAGCAGCAGATAAGTTGGTGATATTTACTGAGCATTTACTGCTGCTGGGTCCTGTGCTGACATTAATTCATTTAATCTCCACAACTAACTCTACAAGGCACAGATACTCTTATTCTCTCATTTTACAGATGAGGAAACTGAGGCTTACAAAGATTAAGTAATATGTCCAGATTGTACAGCTAGAAACTGGGAGAGCTTGGATTTGAACCCAGGTCTGACTGGACTCTGGAGTTTACATTTGTTGTCACAATGCTGTAGTCCCATGGTCAGGAAAACCCATGGCATGAGTTTATGGTGCCCAAGGTGAGTCCTCCAGAGCAAAGAGCAACCAGCCAGGCAAAGAGGAGAGGAGGGGACAGTCCAGGCAGAGGGAGCAAGAGGAGCAAAGAGGGCTGGCATCACCAGGGAACGTGACTAGCTGAGTCTGGTGGAAGCAAAGGGGCCCTAGGAGGTGGTTAGTGGAGGGACAGGCTAAGAGGAGGGCAGGGGTCAGCCTGTGGGCTTCTCCTTGAGTTGGTGAACCACAGCTGACCTGGGGACACTCTCCCTTCAGTGCCATCATAGCACAGCCAGGCTCTCTAGAGATGAGCTAAATCTGGTGCCACACTGTCTTCACCCTGCAAAGCCCAAGCTTCTCCATGTCCTGGCAGGGGGCCATGTTAGGGTGGGCCACCGGGATGTAACTGAGCCCAGAAACACCCAGCAGCAGTGGGCAGTCAGGTCAGACGGTTCATCTGAGCTGCATCTCTGACACTTACCAGCCATTGGTCTTTGGATGAGCTCTTAACCTCCCTGGGCCTCAGTTTGTAAAAAGGAACCTGGAAGCAACATGGCTGCCTTATAGAACTGTGAGAATTTGCTGCCTGACACAGTAACCTGGCTCAAAATGTGAGTTTTTTTTTTTCTCTGACTCCAACTTCTGCCTAAATCCCCTCAGCAGAAAAAGGACAAAAAAAAAAAAAAAAAAAACAGAGCTACTGAAAGGATTTCAGAAAACACTTGTGATGGACGGAAGTCTAGGCCCTCTGGCACTCCCACCATGTCCCAGGAGGGCGCATGCGTCTGCAGTGGTCTCCTAGCACTCCACCTGATGCGTTGGTTGTTTTTCTCATCAGATTTACACCCGCCTTTTTGCGTTTGGGATCCTGGAATGTGGTGATGTTCGTAACTTATGAGCAGCTGCAACGGGCCCTGATGTTATGGGAATCTCCATTTTGAACAAGACAAGAAGGCCACTGGTAGCTGACATATCCAAAACCATTTGAGAATGGAAGAAAACAGTGGATCCACACACACACGGACACAGATCCACACGTGTTTACAGAACTGTTGTTTACTTGTTGCTGATTCAAGAAACAGAAGTAGAAGAGGAGAAAGGATTCTGGTCTTCAGTGCTTTGCCTTGAGAACACCTTTGTTTTGCACTGACAAGATGGAAAATAAATTATATTAATTTTTGAAACCCATTAGGCATGCCTAATATTTAGGCAAGAGAAAAGAAAGCAAAATATATCCATTTGGATAAAATGGAAGGTTGGAGACATGTATTCCCCGAGAAATCTGGTTAGACAGTGAATGATAAGCAGGAAAGATGGCAAGCACGAGAAAGGAGGGGCCCACAATACAGTGGGAGATCAGCCGAGGAGCCTGGAGGGACGCCACCCAGCACCACAGAGCTGGTGACTGCAGCCGTCACACATGCATCATCAGCCTGTTTGTCATGTGTCTGCCTCATCGAGTCCTTTGGATTCTAGGAAGTGCAAGGAACAAGAGAAAAAACTAAAGCCTGTGCCAAAGAAGCCCTGCTGGGCCAGTTTGAGGCTGAGACTCGTAAGTATTTGCTGACAATGCAGAAGAATCAAGAGGGCAGCCTCCCCTTTCCTATAAAATGGAGGGAGCAATCCCTTCCCTGTCCACCTCACTGGGGGTGTTATGACATGCAATTGAGAAGCTGGGTATGAATGCACTTTATAAAAGCAAAAACTCTGTGTCAATCTAACTACAAGGACAATGCCCTGGGAGAAATTTTGTCAGAACAGAGAGGAGATACCAGGGAAGAAGGTTTTAAAAGATACAGTTATCTAGAGGTGAGACCAAAGGATCCAGAGACTTGGGAACCAGAGGTGACAGTGGATGACACAAAGCCACAGGAGCCCTGCCTCCATACAGCTCCCTCCCCCCGACCACACACTCAATTGTGAGCACCTCAAAGGGTTGTAAGGCTTAGGGGAAAAGAAGTGGATTCCTGGCTAAGAACCTCAGAATTTTGGGGAAATTATTATGACTCAATAAAGGAATTCACACCTTAGATGTGGGAGTTAAGAACAGCCACTTCTCTGCCTTCTCTTTCTTGCAATTTTCCTTTCTCACTTCTATTTCCGGCTTTCTATTTGTCGGGGTGGGGCCAGATACAGCCCCACATGCCTACACTTCCTCTGCCCCCTCTCACTCCATTTAATTGCTGGCAAATTGCTTTATTTTTTTAGGGCTCCAGCTTCTGCTTCTGCAAAAGCCAGGGTTGAACCAGATGACCTACTTCCAAGCTTTAGACTATACGTCTTTCAAATTGATAATGGGGTCCCAAAATGCCAGCATCTTTTTCTACTTCTTGGCAGCCTTGTGTATCTCTGATGATTGCCAGGGCTGAGTTCAAACCTCATCTCACTCCACCCCACTCCACCCAACTAACCACCTATCCCCAGGGAATCCTTGCACCTCAGTGTGCTACCAGAGAAGTGGGAATAACAATCCCTGCTTCACAGTCTTTTTGTGAGGGTTGACCTAAAACTCCTCGGAAAGCAGGCATGTGGCGTACACCTGCTACCTGGGAGGCTGAGGCAAGAGGATTGTTTGAGCCCAGGAGTTCGAGACTGCGATGAGCCAAGATTGCACCTGTGAATAGTGACTGCACTCCAGCCTTGGCAACAGAGCAAGACTCCTTCTCTGAAACAAAACAAACAAAAACTCATTGGAATACAGCAGGCGCTCAGTAAGTCATTTCCCCACTTCCCTGCTCCTTGGGAAAAAGCAAATATCTGTTCATCCTCAGCACTTTCCTAAATTTAAATTATAACTTGAGATCAGTTATGTATATAAACTGGAGAGTTCATACAAAAACAAAAAAAATTTTTGATTTAATGTCTGGCTTGGTTTTCAAATAAAACCCATATTTTAAAAAGCTTCTGGCCAGGCTCAGTGAATGCTCCAACTTTGAGAGGCTGAGGCGGGTAGATCACTTGAGGTCAGGAGTTCGAAAGCAGCCTGGCCAACATGGTGAAACACCATCTATACTAATATTACAAACAAAAAAAAAATTAGCTGGGCGTGGTGGTGGGTACCAGTAATCTCAGCTGCCCAGGAGGCTGAGGCAGGAGAATCTCTTGAACCCGGGAGGCGGACGTTGCAGTGAGCTGAGCCCGTGCCACTGCACTCTAGCCTAGGCAAGACTCTGTCTCAAAAAAAAATTACATTAATTACACATTACATTAAAAGTTTACCTTTTTAGCCAGGCATGGTGGCACGTGCCTGTGGTCCCAACTATCCAGGAGACTCAGGTAGGAGGATCACTTGAGCCCAGGAGGCGGAGGTTGCCATGAGCCAAGATCATACCACTGCACTGCAGCCTAGGTGATAGAGTGACACCTTCTCTCACAGAAAAAAAAAAGAAAAAAGTTTCTTTCTTTTGACTTGACTGACATGTGCAAATCACTCTCAAACTCCTGGTCTCAGTTTGTAAGTTTCCAGGTCCAGGAACTATGTCTTCCATGAATTTCTATATAGCAATATTAACATACCATCTACTCCGAGGATACTATTCAGGTGATGATTCTGAGACAGAGGGGATAAAACATTCTAAGAGATATTTTGACTGGGATCAGGAGCCTACTAACTACCAAGTCCAGCCTTTTTTTATTTTTTATTTTTAAAAATAAAGATGGGCTTTCACCATGATAACCAGGCTGGTTCTGAACTTCTGACCTCAGGTAATCCACCCACCTCAGCCTCCCAAAGTGCTAGGATTACAGGCGTGAGCCACCACGCCCGGCCACAAAGAACACATTTTATTTGCCACTATTATAAGTATGAATTTTAAACAGATTCTTGGACTGGTGGTTCATATCCATCAGCTCGTTCAACTTTAGCACCTGTCTCATCCCCAGTGGCTTTTCCAGAACTACTGCCTGCACCATGAAGCTCCATGAGTTTTCCCAATTCAAACTTGGGCTTCTTCAGCATTTTTACTTTTCTAACGAAGACATGATGGAGAGGATAAACAGATTGGCAAGCCTGTTCTATGTCTTTCCCAATGCTGTCTGGAATCAATTTATTGACCACTTCTTTCAAGTCGTTTGTCTGCACCTCTCGGGTCATGATTTCCATCATCTTCTTCCGGATTTGGCGGACCTGTTGGTGCTGAGCATAAGAGGTCTTCCGTATCTGATTGTTGCGTTTTTTAGTAAAACCAACACTGAACAGACGAAGCAAGTAACCATCGGTAGTCTTGACATCAACATGAGCTTCAATCATTGTCTGCCATTTTTTGACCATGGAACACATTTTGTCACGGGTAAGATCCATGCCATGAAGTTAGTCAGGCAGTTTTTGCCCTGAACATCTTCAGTAATCAGCTTGAATTTTCTAAATGCAACTTCATCATTCTGCAAATCAGCAAGACTAACTTCAAACACTCGACCCTTGAGGCCATCAGATGCAATTTTGGTTCCTTGGGTCCTGGTGACTAGCGTCTTTCCAATATTTCTTATATTGAACATAGCGGGTGCTTTCACATCATACCAATCTTTCTTAGAAAATGGATCAACCACTTTCTTCTTGGCTCCCTTTCTGCCGCCTTTCGTAAGGCACTTGTTCTTGCCAACTGCCATGGTGCTGCTCAGAGAGCCAAAAGGGCTTTTTTTTTTTTTTGAGACAGGAGTCTTGCTCTGTCGCCAGGCTAGAGTGCAGTGGCACAATCTTGGCTCACTGCAACCTCTGTCTCCCAGGTTCAAGCGATTCTCCTGCCTCAGCCTCCCGAGTAGCTGGGATTATAGGCACGTGCCACTATGCCAGATAATTTTTGTATTTTTAATAGAGACGGAATTTCACCATGTTGGCCAGGATGATCTTGATCTCTTGACCTCATGTCCTGCCCACCTCAGCCTCCCAAAGTGCTGGGATTATAGGTGTTACCAAGTCCAGCCTTTTGGAGAAAGAAAAACAAGATTGGTGAGTCTTGTGAGGTTTCTAGGGCAAAATACTAGATCTCTTTCCCCACTTCTTTTTTTTTTTGAATTGAAGTCTTGCTCTGTTGTCCAGATTAGCTCAATCTCAGCTCACAGCAACATCTGCCATCCAGGTTCTCCTACATCAGCCTCCTGAGTAGCTGGGACTACAGGTGCACGCCACAATACCCTGGCTGGTTTTTGTATTTTTAGTAGAAATGGGGTTTCACTGTGTTGGCCAGGCTGGTCTCGAACTCCTGACCTCAAGTGATCCCCCCCCCCGACCTTGGCCTCCCAAAGTGCTGGGATTACAGGCATGAGCCACTGTGCCCAGCCTCTTTCCCCACTTCTTAAAGGCAGCGATTCAACCAAATAACCTAAAGCTCTTTACTTCTGTGATTCCAAGAACTGAGAGACAGTTTCTCCCAGGTTATAGTGTGAACACCTTTTGAATGCTGGCCTCAATTTATACTTCCAGGAAGCCAGGGATGTAAATTCATGAGCGGTCAGCTGAGGCCAGCTTCTGAGTTCCGTGCACCCATTCCCCACCACACTCCTAGAGACACCCACTTCCAGTCAAGTGATTCAAAAGAAACCTGCTTTTTCTCAAACTCTTCTAGTATATCAGGCAAAAATGAGATAGCAACTCAGTCCCATTTGTGACATAACGGTTAATTTACTTCACAGAAATTTTCTAAGTAACAGTAATATTTTTTAAAAGAATATTTTATTCAGGAGGAATGTACATTAAGTAAGGAAATTATTATATATCTGTAGATGAGTTTGTTTCAGGGCACTTTGAAAACCACAGTGCACTACACAAATGAAAATATTCATTGTATGTACGTTGTAAGCTGTATATTATATGAGGTGCTTGCTGGGGGTGAACAAGACCAGTTCTGTTCTCAAGGAGCTCACTGGGGTGGAGGATGGTGGAGCAGGAAAGACAAACTGCAAACCATCAATCACCAAACTGGGTGATCAAAGCTACAAATAGATGTGTGTACAAAGCACCCAAGAGCCTGTACACAGATGAGGGACGTCTGCCCCGGTTTGGGGGTCAGGAAGGTTTTTGGAGGGAGACACCTAAAGGTCAAATAGGTATTATCCAGGTAAAGAAAGTTAAGTGAAAGTTATTCTAGACAAAGGGAATGGTTCATGCAAAGGCCCAGAAACAAGATAAAAACATTCAAGGTGCATCCAAAGGATTGCCAGCTGTCAGTAGGGCTGGATTGCAGACTTAAAGATCTACTGGATAGACTGAGGCAGGAGAATGACTTGAACTTAGGAGGCAGAGATTGTGGTGAGCCAAGATTGCACCACTGCACTCCAGCCTGGGTGACAGAGCGAGACTTTGTCTGAAAAAAAAAAAAAAGACACTACTTTCCGTTGTTTTATGTATATACCAAAGTGCAAAGTGGAATCACTTGGTATTGGTGATTCTATATTTAAATTTTTGAGGAACCATCATCCTGTCTTCCATAGCAACTGCAACATGCTCATTCCCAGCAGCAGTGTGTAAGTGTTTCAGTTTCTTCACATCCTCTTCAACACTTATTTTTGGGTTTGTTTTTTTTATAGTAGCCATCCTAACGGGAATAAGGTGGTCTCTCACGGTGGTTTTGATTAATGATTAGTGATGCCGTGGCTCTTTCATGTGGTTATTAGCCATCTGTGTATCTTCTTTGGAGAAATGTCTATTTAAGGCCTCTGCCTATTTTTGAATGAAAATGTAACAATTACAATTTTATGCAACTTGGATGAATCTCACATAGGGTTGAGTAAAAGACACAAAATAGTGCACACAGTATAGCTTCATTTATATAATATTTAAGAACAGGTAAAACAAATATTTGGTGTTAAAAATCAGGATACTGGTTATTCTTTGGGTGAATGGTGACTGAGGGTAGACACAAAGGACCCCTTCTGGGTGTTGGTAATGTTTCCTGATGTGTGTCCTCATTATACAGGGATGTTTGCTTTATAAGTTTTTCATGCTGTATACTCAGGATTTGTGCACTCTTTTTATGTATTTTACTTCAATAAAAAGTTTAGGCTGGGAGCAGTGGCTTATACCTGTAATCCCAGCACTTTAGGAGGCTAAGGCGGGAGGGTTGCTTCAGTCCAGGAGTTCAAGACCAGCCTGAGCAACATAGGGAGACTCTGTCTCTCCAAAACATACAAAAATTAGCCAGGTGCGGTGGTGCATGCCTGAGCCACTTGGGAGGCTGAAGTGGGAGGATCACTTGGGCCTGGGAGGTTGAGGCTGCAGTGAGCCATGACCACACCACTGCACTCCAGCCTGGGTAACAGAGCAAGACTCTGTCTCAATTTTTTTTTTAATTTTACTTTCAGGCTGGGCACGGTGGCTCACACCTATAATCTCAGCACTTTGGGAGGCCGAGGCAGGTGGATCACGAGGTCAGGAGATCGAGACCATCCTGGTCAACAAGGTGAAACCCCGTCTCTACTAAAAATACAAAAATTACCTGGGCGGGTGCACGCCTGTAGTCCCAGCTACTCGGGAGGCTGAGGCAGGAGAATTGCTTGAACCCAGAAGGCAGAGGTTGTGGTGAGCTGAGATCGTGCCACTGCACTCCAGTCTGGGTAACAACAGCGAAACTCCATCTCAAAAAAAAATATTTTTCTTTCAAAGTGTACTTAAACTTGGGTATTGATAATGTGTGTGTGTGTGTGTGTGTGTGTGTAGGGATAAGAAGTTGCTGGCCAAACAAAGATCTTAAGAGTGTACCAGGCAAAGGGAATGAGTGGTCCATAGGCACTAAAGTGAGAATGAGTTTGGCATGTCCAACGCACAGAAAGAAGGCCTGTGTGACTAGAGTGAAGTGAATGAGGTGATAAATGTGAGATCATTCATTAATCTGTTCATCAAATATGTAACAGCTGTGCCAGAGGCTGAGCAGTCAGAGGACAGCCAATTGTTTGGAAAGTTTGGCAGAGAAGAAGGAGTAAAAATAGACCTTGTGGAAGAGGTGAGCAAGCCCTAAGGATGGTTCATTTTAATTTACACACATGCAGTGGAAGGAAAGACTGAAGAAAAGGGAACAAACCGCAGAAGCAAGGTCCTGGAGAACAGCAGGGGATAGAATAATCGGTAAAAGTAGGAGAGATTAGGCCGGGTGCGGTGGCTCAAGCCTGTAATCCCAGCACTTTGGGAGGCCGAGGCAGGTGGATCACGAGGTCAAGAGATTGAGACCATCCTGGTCAACATGGTGAAACCCCATCTCTACTAAAAAATACAAAAAATACAAAAATACAAAATATACAAAAAATACAAAAAAGACAGTGGTAAAAGGATCAATGCAACAATAAGAGATCTTAATACCCAGATACATAAGACCCATAACGAGATTTAGACTCAACGAGACAGAAAATTAATAAGGATATCCAGGACTTCAACTCAGATCCAGAACAAGTAAACTCAATAAATATTTATAGAGTTCTCCATTTTAAATACACAAAATATTGATCGGCCATTATTAATACCCATTTTTAGAATGAAGCAATATTCCTGTTCTCTCTCCCTCTTTTTCTTCCTCTTTCTTCCTAAAAAAAAAAAAAACACAAAAAATTAGCTGGGCATGGTGGCGCATGCCTGTAATCCCAGCTACTCGGAGGCTGAGGCAGGAGAATTGCCTGAACCCAGGAGGCAGAGGTTGCGGTGAGCCAAGATCATGCCATTGCACTCCAGCCTGGGTTACAAGAGCGAAACTCAGTCTCAAAAAAAAGGTAGGAGCGATTACTCTGATTACTCTGGAAGGAATATGAGAAACCTAGAAATAAAAGAGAGGCATGGCCAGGCACGGTGGCTCACACCTGTAGTCCCAGCACTTCAGGAGGCCAAGGTGGGTGGATAGCTTGCATTCAAGAGCAGCCTAGGCAACATGGTGAAACCCCATTTTACCAAAAAGAAAATTAAAAATTAGCCGAGCATGGTAGTGCACATCTGTGGTCCCAGCTATTTGGGAGGTTGAAACAAGAGGATTACTTGAGCCCAGGAGGTCAAGGCTGCAGTGAGCCATGTTTGCACCACTGTACTCCAGTCTGGGCAACAGATGAGAGCCAATCTAATAAAAGAGAGAGAGAGAGAATCATAAAGGCAAACATTTTGAAATGAAGAGAAATAAAAGAGATTCTACAATCATTTCAGTGAAGTTTGAAGAATGGTCACATATGAAGGAAGGTTAGTGGGCCTGGAGAGTTACTTATAAGAGATAATCTTGAAAGTCTTTTTTCCCCTAAAATGTAGATTAATGAAGAAACTTGGAACTGCTGATGCACCCCCGACACTGTTCTCTGTTCTATGCCATGCGGAGCTGTTGGGAGCTCTTACCGTCGTGCTGCCTGAACATTCTAAAGTATAATGTGCCAGGCTTCCTGCGGGCTCACCACAGGCCTTTGAACCATATACACAGTGTTCCACATCCAGCACAACCACCCGCAGGGCAAGCCACCAGCCAACATGTGACAGAGACTTGGAAATTCACAGGAGAAATATGCAAAGCATGTTGTTCTCTACATATCCACAATCAGTGATGACACAGAGATATTAATAAACATGTTAAGAAAGAGAAATAAAACTACTATG